CCTGACAGCCCGCCCTGGCAGACGGGGGCTCCTAAAGACATGTGAAGTTTCCAGGAGGAAGGAAAATGGGGACACAGGCCACCTAACTTTTTAACTTATTAAAACTGTTACAATCTGAAGCCCCTTAAAGAACAACAAGCTGTGAAGTCCTACACAGACAGGCATTCTCCACCACGTAAGCGACAGGGGTTTATCACACTGTGAGTCCATGAACTACTGTCAGAGAGAAAGGCCCGACGCAGCCACCATTCTGGAAACAAAGCTTTATCTCCCTGACTTAAAACTGACTGATGAAAAAGGTACCACTTTTTGTGACTTACTGAAGTCCCTGAACTTATCTTGGAAGCCACAGTGCAGAGCTAACATTGTTGGAAAGCTAGTTCTGCTGGAGATGTCTTTCGAAGAATCTTTTGGCCAGGATGTCTGTTCCCCTGGCTTTGGGACCTCTCAGGCTAAGTCGCCCCAGCCCTGTTATATGGGATAGAATGTTGGTGAGTCCACCAGCTGCTCTCAGGGTGCTGGAACAGATCCAAAGCCATGTCCCCTGAGACAATCTGCGACTGTGTGACCTGTCCCAGATCACCCCACAGTCATCCCCTGAATGGCTGGTCTCTTGACAGGTATCTCCTAGCTTGTAGAAAGATGTTAACCTGTGTGATGGTTAACTTTATATGTCAAACTGACTGCAACAGCGTGCCTAGATTAAACACAATTTGATCAAACACTGAGATGGTATCTCTGGGGCAGATTAGCATTTGAATGAGTGGACTCAGTAAAGTATAGGGTCCTCATTCCAATCTTTGGAGGAAGAGAACAAAAAAGTCAAGGAGGGGGATGTTACCCCTTTTGCATCCTGCCTGCCTGCTTGAGGTGGGACATTGGTCTTCTGCCTTTGGATGGGGACTGAAACCACTGTCTAACCCAACTCTCAGGGCTTTGGACTTGAACTGAATTGCACCCCTGGTGTTTTCCAGCTTGTAGACAGCAGAGCATAGGTCTTCTCGGCCTCCATAATCTCTGAGCCAGTTCCTCATGCTAAGTCTCTTGCTTCTCTGGAGAAACCTAACACAAGCTTCTTCCAGCTATCCAGCCACACTGTTGAGTATAAGGATGTACCCAACTAGCCGCACAGGCATCTCCCAGATAACACGGAACATACACTGTCTACCTCCCAATATTTTCTGAGATGTATCTAAGAGAGACACTATTTAGGGAGCTTTTTTTTTTTTTTTTTTTTTGAGACGGAGCCTCAAGCTATCCCCCTGGGTAGAGTGCCATGGCCTCACAGCTCACAGCAACCTCCAACTCCTGGGCTCAAGCGAGTCTCCTGCCTCAGCCTCCCAAGTAGCTGGGGACTACAGGCGCCCGCCACAACGCCTGGCCATTTTTTGGTTGTAGCCATCATTGTTGTTTTGGCGGGCCCGGGCTGGGGATTCGAACCCGCCACCTTAGGTGTACGTGGCTGGCGCCTTAGCCGGTTGAGCTATAGGCGCCGAGCCATGGGGAGCTTTCCTTGGAGAAATAATTATTGAATCTATTCACTCACCAGACCAGTTACGAGAACCCCAGGATGGAGATGGATCAGCAGAGAGCTGGGGCCTCTGCCGTATCACGTTGCCTATCTCGCCCCTCCTCCCTCACCCCCTTCCGAAACTGCTTTTCCATCGAGCATCATTATGTGAAACAGGCCCGTGAAACTCACTTGTGTGCCCTCAATAAGGCTGCGGCGGGAAACGCTGTTCATTACATCACACGGTGCTTTCTTTATGAGGACTCCGGGGAACAATTCCTGTCTGGCCTCTGTGTGAACAACAGTTGGAATTTTCCTGAGCAACTGGTGTGTGTTTATCTCGCCGACATTGGGAACTGTGTATCTGACAGGTTTTCTTTATCCCCCTAGGCAGCTACGGTGCTGTGGGCCCTGCCTGTGACCCACCCGTAAGGAGCAGGTGTGTGGAAATGCAGTTAGCATTAATACCAGCTCCAGCGCATTCTCTCCCACCTATCGGGTGTTTCTTCACCTTTAATTTATACTATCTTGTCATGTTTTACGTCCCATTGTAAGCTGCCTGAAAAACGTTCCATGAAGTAAGATTGGGTTTACATCGAAAAGTAGATAAATGCAAGAGCCCCGCACCAAGTGCGTCTATTCCTTCCAAACTTCTATTATGTTCTGCTTTAATGTCCTACCACTGACAGCCCCAAGGCTCAGGGTGTGCAACTCAGAACTCCAGCAATAACAATCATAAAAGAATCGGAAGACGCAAATAAAGTCACTGGAAATACTGTGATCGTCCTGCCTCATTCTCATGACCCAGCCAAGGCGAAGCCATCAAAATGACAAAGCTTCTTGGCAGCCTAATACCACCCAATAGTAATTATAATGAAGAGAGTAAATAGCGCTACTGAAGCCTGGAGAGGCAGGTGGGAGTTTATTAGGCTCTCTCATGGTCTGTAAGACGCCCAGGGAAGCAAGAGGGGCAGCCATCGCTACTGTTTTCATTCTGATATTCAGCTAAGTAGCAAGGAAGAACTTGTAGCCCTTAGATGGGCTATTTCTGTGCAGGGATTTTCCAAGGGCAGGAAATGGGTTTGAATTCAAGACAGAAGTGTAAACTCTCATCAATGTGTGTAGAGAGACGGCTGCGCAAATGAGCACATGGAAATACGTTCAGCATCATTCATCATCAGGGAAATGAAAATTAGAACCACAATGGGGGGCGTCACATGTCCATTCAATGGATACAATTGAAAAGACTAGCCTATAGACTGCTGGTGAGGCTGTGGAGCCACTAGAACATCTGTAGACTGTTGGTGGGGAATGCGTAATGTTACATCCATTTCTGAAACCAGCTTATTGTTTTATAAAAATTTAAACATAGGCTCGGTGCCTGTGGCACAGTGGTTACGATGCTGGCCACATACACTGAGGCTGGCAGGTTCAAACCCAGCCCGGGCCAGCTAAAACAACTGTGACAACTGCAACAAAAAAATAGCTGGGCTTTGTGGTGGGTGCCTGTGGTCCTGGCTATTTGGGAGGCTGAGGCAAGAGAATTTCTTGAGCCCAAGAGTTTGAGGTTGTTGTGGGCTGTGAGGCAAGGACGACATAGTGAAACTCTGTCTCAAGAAAAAAAAAAAGAAAGAAAAAAATGTAAACATACAACTACCAGATGACCCAGCTATTACACACCTGGATGTTTACCCAAGAGATATAAAAGATCAAGTCTATAGGAAGACTGGCACATGACTGCTCACAAGTTCTTTGTAATAGCCAGAAACTGGAAACAAGCCAACAGGTGCCTATCAACAGGTGAATGGATAATCAAATCATGTTCTATATATGCCTTGAATGAATTTCTTAGCAAAAGTAATAAACAAATATTTTTATACACAACAATATAAACATCAGGATAATTAGGCTGAGTGAAAGAAGAATATGTTCTCCATGAGCCCATTTATAGAAAATTCTAGAACATGCAAACTCATACATAGTGTCAGAAAGCGGATCAGTGGTTCCCTTGACAGACAGGACTGAGGAAGGCAGATGAAGGGGACACAAATGGGGACAGGGAAACACTGAGTGTGCTGCCTGTGGTCACTATCCTGATTGTAGTAATGGTTTCACGTAGAAACATAAACAGCAAAGCTTATCAGATTGGATATATTGCATCTCAATGCTGCCTCAATAAAACGTTTCAGCAATATTAATTTTATTGGAAAATATGAAGGGGTATGAGTAGTTTTGTTACATGGATATACTATAAAATGCTGCAGTCGGGGCTTTCGGGGTGTCTTCACTGCATAGTGTTCATTGTAACTAACAGGCAAGTTGTTATCCCCCACCCTCCTCCTGTCCTCCCCCTCCTGAGTTTTCAGTATCCTCTATATCTCTTTGTGCCCCTGTGTACCCATTATTTAGCTCTCACTTATTAGTGAGAACAGGTGGTGTTTATTTTTCTATTCCTCATAGACAAGTGGCCAAGAAAACATATGAAAAGACGTTCAACATCACTAATCATCAGGGAAATGCAAATGAAAACCACAGTGAAATACCACCTGACCCCTGTCAGGATGGCCATGATGAAAAAGTCCAGAAACAACAGATGCTGGCATGGATGCAGAGAGAAGGGAAAGCTTATGCACTGTTGGCGGGACTGCAAAGTAGTACAACCCCCGTGGAAAACAGTATGGAGATTCTCAAAGGACTAAAAATAGACCTACTCTTCCATCCAGCAATCCCACTACTGGGTATCCACCCAAAACAACAGAAATATTGTTAAATGGTATATAGCCACCTCTACATGGGGTTCATGGCTACCACACTGAACAACATATCATTAACATCTGTGCTGCCCCAGAATTTGGTATTTGTATTACACTTGACAGGTGCCAGACAGCTGGCTCTGTCTCTAACTCCCACCCAAAGAGGTCCTTTCTGATCTTGCTTGGGAAGTAGCACCAATGAGCAGAAATATCAAGAAAACAAGCTTAAGACATTTTCCTGAGGTATTTTACTGATGAGATCTTTAGCCAGAGACCAGACAAGTTGCCCATTTTAGTGACAAATTTCATTCAAGAGTGGCTCTCATTTTACCCAGCTGGACTAGTGAGCCACAGATAGCTAAGAACCTTCCAATCAAGATTTTATGACACCACATACCCAGAACCTGAAATATTCATTTGGCCGTAGCTTTAGTAATCCAGATTTAAAAGACAAAGTCTATTAGAGGGTAGGTGGGAAAGGTCATAGTCACAAATTCTAGTTCTGGAACTTTTAGATTCTGGGTTCATTTTCACGTCTGTCAAGTGTATATACGGATGCCACCCTGATAGAATTACAGTTACAATTTAGCAAGATCATAGACACCGAGCATCACCCAAGGAGCAGAGGGACTTGAAAAGTATCCCTTCCCCTTGCCAGCAAATCCTTCATCCCAGCACAGACTTCCTGCCCCAACTAGGGGATGCGCAGGGTGAGCAAGGGCTTCTCCCGTTCTTACCTGCAGCCACAGTTTGTCATGCTGAGACCACTTCCCACCGGCAGTGCACTGAAATGTGGCATTCTGCCCCACGTTCACCTCCACATTTTGGAGTCGCAGAAAATGAGGTGCTTTTCCTAAGAGAAAACCAAACAACACATGAGGATGGCATCCAGCAGCCTGTGTCCCTTCCCTCTCAATGGACAGCCGCTCGAGCTGGGCAGGGAGCAGGGTGGGTTGGTGCTTGGGAAGGGGCTGGCTAGTACAGTCACCTGACTGCTCATTATGGGCAGCACGTTGTTCTGCAGGTGTGACCTGCGGCATCTCACAAAAACCCTGAGGGAGGGCTGTGCACCCATTCTGCAGATCAGAAAATTAAGGCTCTGAGGGGTTACAAAGTTTGGCACAATCAGATACCTGGACGCTGGGGAAGCCGAGACATGAACCTGGTTCTCTGAGACCCTCAAAGTTCCTCTTCCTGGAGAATCAGCACAAGCCTCCCTAGAGTACACCCTAATTAGCCATTGCTTCTGGGGCCGGCCCTGGATGAGAGGCAGAACCATGACACTGAAAGTTGGGAAGAAGGACAACTGGGGAAAGAGGGTCAGATATTCACCATAGAGGATGCTTCCCTATGGCCTGAACAAGCAGAAAAAGGACAGTGGAAGGGAAGCAGCTCTGGGTCTGAGACTTGCACCCTGGCCTTGGTGATGATGCTGGTGATGAAGATAAGGAGGATGAAGAGCCGAGGAAGGAGAGCCAGCAGCTCCCACTCGGAAATACCTGCTCCATGATCGTACCCTGGGCAGTGCGTATTTGTGGTGATTTGCTCAACCCAGTGCAGATGTTAGACTGTAGGCGTCCTCAAACTACAGCCCGCGGGCCACATGTGGCCTGCCCAGGACATTTATCTAGCCTGCCGGGTGTTTCTGCTACTTCTGCCTGTCCTGCTTAGCCGCTGCCTGTCCTTTTAAACTATAGTCCGGCCCTCCAACGGTCTGACGGACAGTAAACTGGCCCCCTGTTTCAAAAGTTTGAGGACCTCTGTGCTAGAGCATCATCTCTATTTTACAGAGAACTCAAGAAACTTGCCCAAAGTCACAAGACCCCAGAGTCTCAACTTGAAGTGGTGGCTCCTGAGCGTGAGGGAAGCCGTGACTGTGGGGACTGGGCAAGACAGTGAGAGGACTTTCAAAGGGAATCCAAGGTGTCTGCGAACGGTCAGCCCTAGGATTCAGCACACGCTCGTGTTGGGTAACTCAGGGTCACGTCTTTCCTTGTTTGTGGACACAGGTTCCCACCCATGTGAGCTCTCCATGGGCTGATAACCTATGTCTAAAGAACAAGCTCTTCCCTGAGGCACGGCGACGGGCCCCTCCCACCACCAACCAAGCCAGTGATGAACTGGGCACACAATACCCCAGAATGGGACAAAAGGGAGAGTTAGGAGAGGGTCAAGGAGGTTCAACAAAGGCCTTTGGCCATCTCTCCAGAGGGAGCCAAATAATAATAATAATTATTATATCGTTTATGGAGAGCTCCTACAATGCCAGACACTATGACAAATGTGTTTTGCATGTTTTATCTAATTGAACTTCAAGACATCCTATGAAGTAGATTATCATTTTAGAGATATAGAAGAAATGAAGGTTCAAGAAATTTAATGTGCCCAGAGTCACCCCACATCAGTGAGAGACAGAAACAGAATTCAGTCCAGCTCCGCCTTAGCTCCAAACCCAGTATCTAGCTAGCACATTCTCTTGCCTCCTGGACGTTGGGAATGAAGAGGGTACCCAGAGATGCACCTCTGAGAAAGGGCCTCCAGGCAGGGCTGTGCTGACCACTGGTGGCCTCCTGTCGTTGCTCCCAAATAGTTCACCACAGTGATCCTTTTTTTTTGTTCCTATTACTCCTGGCTTTGAACTATCTTGCCTACCAAACTATGTTACCATCTAGAAAGCTCAGCAAAAGCCGAGAACTGTGGCGTGACTCGGCAGACTTGCTGTGAAAAGACACACGCTCACTGCTCAGGATTTCAAACAAACAATAACAGCTCAAGAGATGGCTCACTGTTACCGTGGAGGCCCCACCCCAGTCAAGGGTGCAAGGCCCAGGGCAGACCACTCCCCGCGGGCTCCTCAGAGCTTCCGACTCCTGCATCCAGTCAACCTGACGAATGTCGTGCTGCATTGATTGTCTGAAATGGTTTCCTTTCTGCTCTCCTGTATAATTTTGTAAAGTTATTTTTGGAACCATCAAGTTCAAGTCAATCCTGGAAGTGGGAATAGAGTGAACTGTGTAACTCTGTTTATGCCACGGGTTTATAGGGGAAGGGAATGTCCAGCCGCAGAGCCTCCTCCACTCCAGTGCTGGGAAACTGTGCTGGTTTTTACAAAGAAATGTTCTTTGGGACGCAGGGAAAATGGTTTAACCTCTGGAACATGTGCAATTAGCACTAAATCTTCTCCGGATTCATGGCCCTGCTTGCTTCTGACTGCTCTCCACAACTTCTTCCATCTTTCCTGTTTCTTCCTCCCTCCCTTCTAGCTTCAGGAGTAGAGAATTTAGATGTTTAGCGTTTCCTACTGTTAATATTCTAGGGCAACACTGGCCACTCACTGCACAAATGTACAACGCACACACCTATAAGAGTCCTACAAGCTAGGCAAATGAATAAAGACATACAGTCATAAAACGGAACAAAGCCCCCACCCTCCTTGCCCCCATCTTTTATGTTTCCATTTTGGTAGAGACTTGAGTAAAATAAAGATTTCTCTGTGTAAAAAAAGCATCACTGTACGCACAATAATAAATGGTAGCTGATGGCAGCCTGGTGCTGGAGCAAGGCGCTAAGGAGTGGTGGGGATTTGGAGGACCTGGAGAGAAACCCTGTGCCCCACGGACAGGGGACAGGTGCTTCTTCAATCCAGCAGCTGGAGGAGGTCCTGTATGTGTGCTTTTCTCAGGGCAAGTAAGAAATCCAGATTGGATATGCAACCTCTTCTTCAAACTCTTAGTATTTTCCAGGCAGGCAGGCTCTATCTGTTTGTGGTCTCTGATAGGTAGCTCTTAGGGAAGTCATTTGGAACAATTTGCACCAGCCAGTCTTGCCCCATGTAGCCCCCTATATCCAGTGCCAATCCCCCCAGAGCAGTGTGCTGTGGAGGTCACGTGAATGCTATCCCAGGTGGCTGTTCCCAGCACAGAAACTTCTCTGCACCATGCTCTTTCCCACCAGGATTCCTGCCACATGCCCTTACCCTCGTCTCTGTTCTTTGGGGCTCAAGGACATCCCTGGCTCACCCAGATATCCATCCCAGGGGAGCACACTTGTACTGAGGAACTGTTTGGTCCTCTCCTCTGGGCTCCTGGCCACTCAGACCCTCCTCCCGCCTCCTGTGCCCTCACACCAGAAACCTTTACTCATATTCTCCCTTAACTGTCCCCATTTCCCCCAGCATCTGTTGCTTTCAGAGAGAAAATACCCCACCAGCTTCAACTCGCCCACCTTAAGCCAAACACAGTTGACCTCAGTGCCCAAGCTGGCCACCAGCTCATGGTGTTAAGCACCCCCACTCACCCCCTTCTGAGATACAGCTCCCCAGAATGGGATCCCACTGAATAAGGTTAACAGAAAACCCATCGTGCATCTGGGGCCAAATGCCTTGATGTTGGTGACATTTAGACTCTTGCAGATGTCAGTGCAGTATCTGAAGACATATTATTGTATCCTTTATTTTGCTCTTTAAACCTGACAGTACCCAGCAGGAAGCCACCCCATGGAGGAGAAAGTTCAGTACAGACCTCAGAGATGTGCTCTGCAGACGCTCTGCATGTGGGCTGAGGGACACGGCCCGACAAGGTTGGGAAGGAGAGGAAAAAAAGAGTTTATAAAAATTCTAAAAGTCAACTTAAGAGCTAGAAATTTTGAAGCTGAGTGGGAAAGCGTGCTGACAGTTATCATACGTAGCTATAACTGCAGTGGCCCCGTTAACGGCTAACACTGAGAAATAGCAGCAAAGTGTAACTATGGCTAGAACTCTTTTAAAATAACACAAAAATATTAAATGGACTATAAAATACACGCAAGAGGTTCCAGGTTGGAAAAGAAAATAATTTTCCTTGAATACCACTCCTGTCTTTTGGTCACTGTTTTGGAAACCACAACTCCAGCCCCAGTTGATCCAGGACTGAGGGCAGATCCATCAGACACCCCCTGGGGCTTCTGGAATATTTAAAAGAATCACTTCCTGATAAATTCTGACCATACGTTAATAGAACGAATGTTTTGGAGGACAGACAAGGAGACTTTGAAAGCCTAACGACATAAAGGGAATGCATATATTTCAATGTAGTTAAATTTTAAATAATCTATGAGTGAAGCCATGAATGCAGGGCTGGGGGTTGAGGGGAAGCACTTCTGGTCTGAGGGCAGTTCAGAAGTCACCAGATAGTTTCATGATAGGAAATCCCCACCTCAACCCCAGACCCCAGTAACCCTAAGGGTCCATGGCCGGCACCTTGGAAGGCAGCATGCTCAGGTCTCCCCAGACATGCACCACCTTGCATAAGCCTGAAATCTGCAGTATTTTATCATGGCAGCCCCAGTAAACTAATACACCATTTGTTTTATGTCAGATAATCACCTCATTAGTTGTTCTGTTTTCAGCCCCTGAGGATAGAGAATGAATCTGTCTTACTCATTCCTATACTAGAATGAAGCAGAGGCTCTGGACATGGTTTAGACCACCACCACCATCTCTTACATGGTTCCAGAATGTTCTTCCTCCTGTGTCTCCTGACTTCTTCCCTATGGCCTTTCAACTCATTTTCCACAGAGCAGCCCAAGTGGTCCTTCCCCAGCAAAAATCCCTCCAGTGTGGCCTCCCTGCACTTATATTAACACCCAAACTGCTCATCACAAGGCCCAAGGCCCTGGCTTACCCAACCAGGATTTGCCCTGACCACTCTCTCCTGCACTTTGTATGCTCTGGACACACAGGCAGTATCAAACTGACTACCATGGTGGGACCTCTGCACCTGCTGTTTCTTCTGTCTAGAATGCCCCTCCCCAAACCCCTCTACAGTGAGTTCCTTTCTATAATTTGAATCTCAGATCACATCTTTAAAGACATGCCCTCTGACCACTGTATCGAAGAAGCCCTCCTACATCTCAGACAATCACTTCTATCATAGTGATCGTACTTTTCACGATCTACAGTTATTAGTTACTTATTTCATGCTAATTCTTTATTTATTGACATCCCTTTTTCTGGCCTTCCTGCTAAGCAAATGCTATGAGGACAAGGACCTAAACCTTTTTAGGCACTTAAGTATCAATTATGCCCAGCAAAGTTCTTAACATATAGCTGATGGTCCAATTATTTACTTGAGAGAGGAAAGGATGAATAAAAACCTACACTAGGCATGAACTGAGCACTGGTCCTTAGGAAGGGGCCTTTGCTATGTTCTATTCAACTCCTCATGATTCATGAGCTGTGGATAGACCTCAGATGACTACATATATGGCCAGTATTTGTATATATAGTTAAATGGAATCTTTTCCAATTCCAGCCACTCTTTAGGGTCTTCACATTATAGTTTCTGGAAAGGCTATGCCTAAGTGGCCTAAACATTGAGAGTGAACTCAGAAGAAACACATTATGCAGGAATAAGGCCAGTGTCACGCCTTCCTGAGTTATATCCCACGGCCCATCTGTTGGGTAACTGGTTCTCAGCAGTTCCATAAGTGTGCAATCCACAATCTCAGCAGGGGTTGGATGAGTTTGTCAGAAGAATCTTAAATTCAGGAGTAGCCCCAGGGACAGGAACATTCCAAGAGGAACCATGAGACTTTGGGGGTGAAGAAGCATCTGAATGCCTTCCAGAGAACTCTCTTCCCATGGAGATGTATCAGAAGGAGACTTTTCAGAAAGGAGGAAGCATCTGACCGTGATGGCAAACCATGCTTAGTGCTTTTAGGTAAGACAGAGTTTCTATCAATCTAGCCTTGAAGGTGGATGAGGCTGGAATAAAAGGTGTCAAGGTCATGTGTCATGGTGAAGGTGAAAATTCTAATTCAAGTAGAGAGGTCTGAGATCTAGGGAGAGATAGCCTTGCATTTTTCTCCTGGGAAGAGCTAAGTATCACCTACCAGAAAGACCAAATCCAAGCATCAAACATAAACATAAGGTAAGATGTAGAAACCCAGGCAGATGCAGCAAGGGTGAGCATGCACTATGAGGACAGGATGTCTGCAGGGCTAGAGGAAGATAGGCTGGTTTCAGAGAGACTGCCTCAAAACTAGTGGCCATGCAGCACTGAGTGTATAGTTCAATGGACCACAGGTAGAACAGACATCTCCCAACATGGTTTAGGCCAAAGATCATTCTCACAGGAGTTAAAGAAAGGGGAGACTTAATCCTGGTGAGGGCAACTCATCTGCATATCCACTGTAAGCCCTATAGAGCTGGGGGATTGCTGAGATCCTCTTTCCACACAGTCTGGTTCAACAAAGACATTTCCTACAGATGACTGAATGGACAGAGCCACCTGGGAAGTTCTAAAAGGTCCAAAGAGTTAACCAGAAATGGGGGGGAGTGGGGTTAAACCTTAAGCTGAATAATGAAGAGTTTAGTAGGATCTCAGCATTCCTGAAATGCTGGCTGGTTCCTGGGAAGGAGGGCCCCTTCTTGTACAGGACCCAAATGCAGATTCCCAAAATACTGTCTAGAACTTTGGGACTTGTCCTAAACTCCTCCAGAGAAGGTGCTCTGAGACAGTGAGTCAGACAATGGCCTTCTAGTGCCAGGCAGAAGGACAGAAGTGATGTTTAAGGGTCTGATGAATTCACTGCAACAGAAGTGGAAAGTTGTTTCAATGACAGCAACATGGGTAGGGCTGAAATGAGAACAGTCCCAAAATAAGGAGAAGCGGGCATGTGTGTTCTCTTTAGGCAGCCACAATCTGCACCATAGCCCGTAGCATGATTCACAGACATACGGGAGAGTGGAGAGAACCCCATTACAGTCTCCTAGAACCAGTGGCTGTCAAGAAACTAATGGGAATATCCAATCCACAGAACACTCACAGACATGTGGGGCTGGCGACCCACCTCCCTCTCCCAAGGGCTACCATAATCTACATGCATATCCTCCCCTCCACCAAACATCACTAGGTATGACATCATCTCAACTACTTGCACCCAGGACTTGCCTCTCTGAGATTCAGCCAACCAAGGAACCACAGCTCCCTGCTGAAACACACTCAAGTATCTGAGATTAAATACAACAAAGAAATGGATGTGGACAGAGGAGTGGTTCGCCTTTAAGGACTCTTGACACTATACCATGAGTACTAACCGCTATGAGAAATCTCCCTCTATGCCTGCACAGAGCTGATGAGCATATTTAAAATTATTTTTAAAGAATTAATAGCTTTGGGGTACTTTTCCCTGTGAGTGAACAGCGTGCTAATTTGCTCATGTTTTGGTGGTGTTCTTTCTTTTTTAAGACAATTGCACAAGATTCTATCCAAAGCCCTCTAATTCTTCCACTTCAGTGGTCTGAATCCCACTAATAAACAATCAGGACTTTAGACTCCCTTAATAATGGAGAGAGATTCAAACGAAGATGTTTTGCCACTCTCTGCAAATTCCTGGAGGTGCTGCCTGTTGAACAGGCCAGCAAAATTATGGATTTATTCAGGACTGATTGCGATGAGTATGTAAGCATTTTTGAAGGATTGAGCGAGACAGAGACAGAGAGAGATGTTTGTGAGCTGAATGAATAGGGGGATGGCAGCCTCCACGCTACCCAGGATGGCACAGATCAAGGCTAGGCTGGGAGAAGGGGACAGACTTACTGCAAGGATGAGCGAGGACCCGGACCTCGTCCACGGCGATGTAGCCAGGGTGCCCCTTCAAAGAGACGGATTCAAATATCACCTGTAACACAGAGTGGGAGTCAAGGTCACATGAATGCAGTTGTAGGCATTCATCATAGATGCTGCCCAGCCCCCAACCCTTTACGTTTCAGTTTTCTCTCAGAACCAACCAAAGAGACAGCAGGCTACCCTGTCAATGAACCGGGATTTTTAAAACAAGGTTAAAAAAAAGTCAAGTCTTCACTTTGGTGACTAGCAAAAGAAGAGTCAGTTGTGTTGAACATTTTTAATGGATTTCAGAAATAACACTTAGATGCCGGAAAAAACAACCCAGAAGTGTCCCGGAGACCCCAACCTACATCTTTCTCACGGTGATTTCAACTAAAGTACAGAGAACTACTTCTAAAACCCGACTTTCTTATGCAAACAAGAGGACCTTGGAAGCTATCATAACCCAAAGAGGGTTTACCCTGATTTGATTCTTCATTCCAAGGAACATATTCCATCTGAATTGCTCAGCGACAGCTCTCAAAATAAGTGTTAACCTACCTATTGGAATAAAAAGGGCAACAAGTCAAGTCCTCTTAACTCTCCACTCTGATTCCCACCCAAACTGCTTATTCCTGTAAAAAATTAATTCAGTGAATAGCTTCCCTCACTACCCAACCTCCATCTTCACTGAGGAGAGACAAAACTCTGTGTGGACATCATGGCCAACACATTTGTCTTGTCTAATGCCAAGGGCCATCTCCTCCGGGCTACTTTAGCCACACCTTTAGTTTTGTTCTTCCCTTCTCCAGAACGTAGAAATTCCACTTCCCTTCTCTAGGACAATCTCCTACTCCCACAGTCCCCTCCCAACTTCCTTCTCTTTAACCTGCTCCTCAGGTCCATGGGGTGGTCTGGACCTCTCTGCCTGTCCAAAAAGCCCAGGTTCTGCCGCATGGCAGCTAATCACCCATAGTAGGCTCTCTCCCAACCCCAATTCCTTTGTACCTTTATTCTACCTTGACAGGCCTGTAAAAAACCTGCCTTTTCACTCCTGCATCCCATACAAATGTTCTCCTTTCAACATCTGCCCACACAATGCAGGAAGAATCCTACGTTTTCAAGAGGCAAGAGAGGGGTGGCTCCTATCCTCTTCCCCACACCTAACGTACATGAACAGTGCCCCTGCCCCTCCTCTGCAAGGAAGACCAAAGCTCCCAACCCTGACATGAGCTGGAGCTCCAGTTCATCTCAGTTGTCTTTCCCTACCCTGTATCTCCAATCCCTCCTTTTTAGCCCTGACCTTGACATGTGTCAGCAGCTTCTTCTAGTCTTTAAAAACAACCCTCAGCCGGAGGTACTTCCCTAGCACCTTCCAGTTGTATTTCAGGAACACTTAAAATTCTCAGTAGTTTTATCCTCTCTCATTCCAGATACTTCCTTACTTCCCATTGTAAACCTTCACCCAACTATAGTCTGGATTCTGTCTCCAATACTTCCCCCAAATCACTTTCATGGCAGATACTAATAATCTCCTAATGGCTAAATCCAGTAGATATTTCTCAATCCTTATGTTACTTTGAGAAGATAGGGTAGGGATTAAGCTCTGAATCAGAGGGCCTGGGTTCAAGTCCTGGCTCTGTCACTTACCAGTGTGTGACCTTGGGCAAATGACCTTACTGAGCCATGCCTTAGTTTCTGAATCTGTAGTTACAATATCTACCTGTTTGAGTAATTTTTCTCATTAAGGAAGTTAATGCACCTACAGCAATGTGTGACACATGATACATTCTTCCCAGGTGTTTACTATATAATTTTTTTCACTGCCTGATCATTCTTCTATAATCATCTATGTTCATAGCTTCTCCCTCCCCTGCTGGGTCCTCCCTCTATTTGGGCTCAGAGGTTCCGATGACACTTCACTCTTGTGATTCTTCTCATATATCTGAAACTATTCTGCCATAATAGTGTAGGTCATTCTCTTTCTGCATCATCCCTTCAGATGTGGGCCTCCTCTGCTCCTCTTTTCACTGTATACACTTCCTTTAATGGCTACCAACTCACTGAGAACTCCCAAGCCTGGCTCTGCACCCAACATCTCCCAGAAGAACATCAATCTCACTTATCCAGCTCGCAGCTCTGTACTTCCACCTAGACATCACATCAGTGTCTCAAATGCGATCTGTATGCAACACATCTGAGCACCTGCCCTCTCGAATATTCTCCTCCATTGCCCAGTGGGTCTTCCTTCCTTCAATAGGGGACTTGGAAGGTGGCACTGTGACCCATCCAGTCACCCACGCTGAAGACCTGAGCATGTGCCTGGGCTTCCCCTTCTTCCTCACTCTTCACCTTTATTTTCTTTGTGGTTCTACCTTGTTAGCATTTCTCAAATTTTCCCCTATTTCTCCATCTCTGCTCTCAGGAGGCACCATAGGAAGCAGTCATTTATGTAGCTCAGTGCCAGGTGGACATCAGTGCTGCTACCCTGGATCAAACCATCATCATTTTTCATCTCTACCACCTGACAGTCTCCAAATAGACCCTCTCTCTCCTTCTTGTACTCCTCAGGTCAAGTCTGTGGGTGAATGCAAAGTTGGATGATGAGACCAATAGGAAACCCTCCATGTGAAATCTTTTTATGATCTGTGTGGTCATTCCAGATGAGTGGATTCAAAGGTCAATGCTATCAGTGGTGTCAAGGCTCCAATAGCTATAACAAATGAGCAGGGAGCCAGTGGCAGGGTAGCAATGGCTGTGAGGAGGCAGCTTCCACACCTGTTAAGATCTATTGTGAGATGGCACGTAGCTTTCTGGGAATTATGTGAAGTGACTCAGAGATGACAATTGCACCAAGCATACAGGTGCAACACCAGCATGACAACCACTCTGGAAGATCAATTTACTGAGATAATAGTCTTCAGAGAAACTTAGCAAACAAAATTGTGCAGAGGGGTAAGGGAAAAGCTTGCAAATACAAAAGTGTGATGGCTTCCTCCTCCTGCAGAGAGAAGTCAATAGAAGGCTTCTCTATAAAGAACTATGTGCCTAATTATAAATGTATTTGTAATAATTCAAAGGAAACAAAAAGCAAAGTCCACAATAAAAAGTGTTTTAAAAAAATGTGCACAGTAAATGCATTTAAAAAGAAACAGCATAAAAACATTCAAACTGTGTAATAAAAAATGACAAAAGAAAAGTATTTCTGTTGTGACAATAAATATAAATGGGTTAAAACAGAAAAAAAGCTCTCAGACCACCTAAATAATCAAAGAGTAATTGCATGCTATAAGATAAATACCTGAAGCAGAAGGACCCAGTAACCTTAAAAATAATAGCTTGAACAAAGACATAGTAAGGAAATAAACAGAAAAAAGTTTTTGCAAAAATAATGTGAAAGCTTTTAAGTGGAACTGTATCCAAAAGGAAAAACTTTAAAAACATTAAGTGGACTAAAATGGTCACTTAAAAAAATATGAGTCATGAGACTTAAAAAAAAATTGATGAAAAAATGAAATAGTACTTGAAGACCTTACCCCATCTCTTAACCTTTTTGACTAGTCAAATAGGAGAAAGTAAATATGTACAAGATGGCCATAAGGTTGATGTACAATTTTTAAGTTCCACACTGTTTTAAATTGCACATGAACTTAATGGCCACCCCATATATAATATAAAAATAAACAATAATGTATTTACTAAACACATGTTAATAAATATTAGAAAAGAATGGAACTCTTATTCAAATATTCAAATGCTTGTGGATTACTCAGTGAAAACAATCATACACTAGACCACAGTGAAACATTAATAAATTCCCCAAAGAAAAAATGGCATAGGTTTGGGTCAACATATTTCCTAAGCAAATTCACTACAACTAGAAATTAATGATAAGGTCTAAAGAATACATTTCTTAAAAGTTATACAACACTTTCTTAATGAATATGATGTCAAAATACACTTTGTATGAATCAACAGAAGTCTGAGACAAAATTAAAAGTCAAATGACAAGCTGAGAATAATATCTGTAATACATAAGGTAGCTTACAGAAAACTATTCTTTTTTGTTTTGGCACAAAAGACTCATGAGAATCCACAGAATAAAATAAATGAATAAATTCTCCAAAAGAAAAATTGAGAAATGAACTCAATGCCTGTAATTCAGTGGCCAAGGGTGCTAGCCACATACACCGGAGCTCGCGGGTTCGAATCCAGCCCACGCCTGCCAAACAACTAGAATTAATTATTGTTTTCAGTAAGTAATCCACAACTGCAACCAAAAAATAGCCAGGTGTTGTGGTAGGAGCCTGTAGTCCCAGCTACTCTGGAGGCTGAGGCAAGAAAATCACTTAAGTCTAAGAGTTGGGGGTTGCTGTGAGCTATGATGCCATGGCACTCTACCTAGGGTGGCGAAAGAAAGAGAGAAAGAGAGAGAGAGAAAGAGAGAAAGAGAGAAAGAGAGAAAGAAAGAAAGAAAGAAAGAAAGAAAGAAAGGAAGGAGAGAGAAGTGACTCCAGCAAGTAATTCATAAAATAATGAGATAGAAATGGTAATAATCTGTAAATGCGATTTATTTGAAAGACACTGAGGATGATTAGAAGGCATCTCAGAAGACGCCTGCAGCCTTGGGTAGAGATGATCAATGTGCTTCTGATGTGAGGGTCCTGGTCCCAGGAAGCTCCCACCCAGAAGCTAGCAAACTCCAGTTACTGCAGACACCACATGGGGATAGGGTGATGCCAGGATCTGCTGAGATAGAAAGACCCACCCAGGTGTTCTGAAGAGAGGAAGGATGGTCATCCCCATCTCTGAGTTAAGCACACTCACCAACCAAGGCCCTTGAGAAATGAAAGTCAGGAAATAGGAGAAAAGCCAGAGTAATGACTTAAGAAGTCTGGCGTCTACTCTGGCACCTTCCCCTGTCTCCCTCACCAGGTCTGCAGGGGCAGGGAAGGCAGGACGGGATAGAGGAGCTGCCACAGGGCAGTGTTCCATGTCAGTACATGAAAGCAGAGATCCCAAGTGCTAGAAGCAGGACACAGAGCCCAGGCTGGGAATTCCAGCATCTCCACA